AAGAAGTTAAACGGGGCAAAGCCCGCGGGTTACAGCTAGTATCCTATATATTTGGAAGATAATATTTTCATTACCGGTACAGTACATAACATTCTTTCTCAATTATAAAATCTATTGGTTTTAAAATTGAAAAAAAACAAACAAATTCTGGTATAAGTTTCCTGATCTATGTGCCGTGAGAGTCACTTTTATATATATACTAGCTGTACCCGCGGGCTTTGCCCCGTTTAACTTCACAAGTGAGCTCGTTCGCATGGCTCAATCACGTCCTGGTTGAAGTTCGTTCGCTTCTCACTCACCTTTAGGTTGGAGCTCGTTCGCTCCGCTCACTTGCCTTCAGGTTAGCTCGTTCGCTACGCTAGCTCGCTTCCAGGTTGAAGTTCGTTCGCTACGCTCACTCACCTTTTGGTTGCAAATTGGCTGTAGTCATAAATTAAAAAAAAAATAGTGCTGCACCCTGTTGGTAATCCTTGTACCTTTAATGCTATTGAACATCATAGAACAGAACCAACTTGTTTAATTGAAACAGCTGTTAAGAAATTCCTTTTAAATATGAAAAATCATAAGGTTAACATGGGAAACTCCAGAGCCACTGGGGCGGAGCCCGAAAGCCCGATCAGATTAAAAACTACTTAGTTTTCCTATTTAATGCCCAAAGAATTAGTGTACCGAATTTCAGCCTCCTAGGTAAATGGGAAGTGGGAGAATTAGTGATGAGTGAGTGAGTGAGTGAGTCAGTCAGTGAGGGCTTTGCCTTTTATATATTTAGAAGATACTAAGAGCGAGCAATAACTTACTGGCCGAAGCGTATCAGCTGCCAACGGCAATAGAACTAGAAACGACAAAGAGACCAGAAATCACTCCCGTTCGCTCTTGGTCGTCAACTTCGCCGGACTGCCCCACTTCCAAATTAAACATAAGTATTATTAGTATCTTAGTAATTTGGATTAATTATCAGGGAAGCCAATTTAATTATGAAATATTTTGTTTTTTTGTTTAAGTTCAGTTAGGGGTTGCCGGGGAGAAATCAGGGGGCTTTAGGATGTAGGTTTTCCAATTTAAAATGTCGGTCTTCTCCTTAAGAGAAGCCGACATCAGCTTGTCGAAACAAAGTCTAAATTCACATGGTTCTAAATTGTTCATTAATTCTGTACCACTGTCAATTCAATTAGGCCTAATTCATTGCTAAATTACCTCACTTCTATCAGTTTTCATTTTACACGGTTAGTTCATTACTTAGTTATCTTGTAAATGCAATTCTTATATATTCAGGTAGTGGGTTAGCTATAAGATTTTCATGTTATAAATTACTCAAATCACAGCTCATCAAGGCTGGTTTAAGGTGTTAACGGCAATGGGCACGATCAACCTCAGGGTAAAATCTTTCTTTTTAAAACAGACAGTTAACAGTCCTTCCTAATTTCTCAACCTCATAAAATAGTAATTATTAATATGCAGGGTCTTTTTTTTTTAAACTTGCATCTTTATTTATGTAAAAACCGCAATAGATAGAAATATGCAGTTTGCGGGAATCATCTATTGACGTACGGGGCCCAATTGATTTGAATTCAACGTTACATTCACATTCCCCCCCTTTCCCCCCTGCCACCAACTTATTTTTTTAAATAGCAAGGTACCCCTTGTGACATATCAAATGAAAGAGCATGAAAAAAGAAAATGTTTGATGAAAAAAAATTGAAAACCGGTTCATAAATTTGTGAGATATTCCCCCCCTTCCCTGGAACTTAATTTTTTTTTGATAGCAAGGTACCCCTTGTGACATATCAAATAAAAGAGCATGAAAAAAGAAAGTGTTTGGTGAACAAAAATTGAAAATCGGCTCATGAATTTGTGAGATAATCCCCCCCTTTTCCCCTACCCATAACTTTTTTTTTAATAGCAAGGTAGCCCTTGTGACATATCAAATGAAAAATAAATTTCACCAAACATTTTCTTTTTTCATGCTCTTTCATTTGATACGTCACAAGGGGTACCTTGCTATTAAAAAAAAATTAAGTTGGGGGAAAGGGGGGGAATGTGAATGTAAAGTTGAAATTAAAAAAATTGGGCCCCCTACGTCAATAGATGATTCCCGCAAACTGCATATTTCTATCTGTTGCGGTTTTTACATAAATAAAGATGCAAAAACACCCTGTATATATTTCCATGTCCCAATCCTCACGCATCCACACCACTCCTTCATTAGCTTATTCAACATACATCCTCAACCAGTGCGATTAGTATCACCCAGTCACACAGATTTCCATTACATGTTACAAATAGTAGACCGTATTATTTCACAGAATATCTAAGATAGATAACGTAATTCGTCTTATCTTATCCCTGAAGTGTGTTTTCATTCAAACTTTGAAGTACATCATTCGTTACAAAGCAGTTTGGATACTATAATAAATATCTCTGTCAAAATTGTATTTTGACACTAATTATTCATTAAAAAGGTAGAAAAATAATACCCCCGCTGTAGTAAACCTGCAGACTTCACTTTTGACTTAGATATTTTCTTGTCAGATTTATTCCCCTACTAGTGTAAATGTTGCTCGAAATAGAGCAATTGAAAAGAAGTACAGGAGTTATTTAAAAACAAATAACAGTCATAATTTACGATGAGTTTAAAAGAGTCATCTCAAATATTATGTAACTAATGGAAATACTCACAATGTACATAACAGTTCCATATAGGCTAATCATAATTTCTTTAAAATGTTTTATTCAAAAGCTGATCTGTTTTTTTTTTGTGTTTTCAATCAAATGTTTCCCATTTATAGCAGCATTACGTTTTCCATGTTGATCTTCATCAATGATAATGCATTCTGCATGGTACCACCCATTGTCGCCAACGTTTACAAATTTCAGTAATTTTTAATAGCGATAAAATTTGTTTGGATTACTTAAGAACTAACTACCTTATTTCCTATATAACCTCTCTCTCACAATTTTAATTATTTAATTTGGCATTACTTTGGTTAGTTACTGTTTTAACGTAAATTCTATTTACCTGAAAAAGTGCTGAGTTGAAAGGCCTGAGATGTTGTTCAGGTGGTTTTTCCCCCTTAATGTCCTTACCGTACCAGTTTTATTCAGCCTTAGAGGGTTTACCTCTGCAATGATCACAAAGTCCATGTTTCCTACAGTAATAGTAGGTAGCACTTTGGGTAACATCCTCGTTCATTGTTTGCAGGAATCTTCATATTGTAGGTGTTCTTCATTATATAGGGCTAATAACAATATTAAATTATAAAAAAAATTCTCTATTTCTTCTACTTGCTGGAGTTCTATGACTTTCCTATGTTTCCATATTTAACAAATCGGTGCTTTCAAATGATTGCTCAAGAAATACAGTACTAGGCCTATGTCAATCCATTTTTCTTGTTTGGTGAAATACATCAAATTGTCCTGGCTTTCTTGATATCGTACGCAAACGCAAATTCAAATAGTAAATATTTAATTTCAACCAAATCAGTAAATGTTTAGGCTATACATGTGTTTCCTTGAATTGCAAAATAAATATTAACAGCAATTAAATTATCCAGCTGATCATAATGAAAACAAATATGTTCTTCATAAGAATAACATGGGAACTTTAAGAGCCACTGGGGCAGAGCCCTAGGAACTTAAAAAAAAAAAAAATAAGGTCAGTTTGCAAATCTATGCAACATGCTCTTTTCAATGAGACTTGAATGTTCAAAATTGGTTAAGAAATGGCGTAGGAGTTTAATGGACAAATTTCGTGTTGGCGTATCTTATCTTACTAATATTATAAATCTGAAAGTTTGTGAGTTTGTGTGTATGTTTGTGTGTGTGTTTGTGTGTGTGTTGCTCAATCACGCATAAACTACTGGACGGATTGGGCTGAAATTTGGCATGATGATAGCTCACATTCCCGATTAACATTAAAGCATATTCTTATCTCAAAAACCCTTTCGGGCTCCGCCCCAGTGGCTCTGTAGTTCCCCATGTTAATCTTATGATTTTTCATATTTAAAAGGAATTAATGAATCTTAACAGCTGTTTCAATTAAACAAGTTGGTTCTGTTCTATGATGTTCAATAGCATAAAAGTTAAAAGGATTACCAACAGGGTGCAGCACAATTAATTTTTTTTAATATATGACAACAGCTAATTTCCAACCAAAAGGTGAGTGAGCGTAGCGAACGAACTTCAACCTGGAGGCGAGTTAGCGTAGCGAACGAGCTAACCTGAAGGCAAGTGAGCGCAGCGAACGAGCTCCAACCTAAAGGTGAGTGAGCGTAGCGAACGAACTTCAACCAGGGCGTGAATGAGCCATGCGAATACTTATGAAGTTAAACGGGGCGAAGCCCGCGGGTACAGCTAGTTAATTATATAGATACAAAAAAACAGGTTTTAGATTCGCTGATACAAAGAAGGTACTAAAGTTTGTTTTTTAGAGTTAAGTATAACATAAATAAACTTAACAAAAAAAAACTCTTTGTTAACAGTTTATTTAGTTAATCCCCATGAAAATAAAATGGGATCAGTTTACAGTTCTTTGGAAAATTATCATAACCATGGAGTGTATAAAACAATGCTTCAAGGTTAAACTAAATTATTTGCTTTTTAAGCTGTATACAACATTGATATGGAAAAAATTAAAATTCATGTTTGAGGGTCAATAATGGGAAAACCAATGTTAACCCCTATAAATACCCCCTTCCCATCCCATAGTCTGATCATGCTGGTTCTCAAACTCGTTAAAAAATAAAGGTAACTTAGGTTTACACTTTTGTCACTATATGATATTGTCTACTAATTGATCCTTTTTTTCCTAGGATAAGATTTTTAAAACACAATTAAAGCTGTTGATTTTTTAATACAAATTTTGTTAGTCCTTTATGTATTAGAATGAATCATTTCAGTATGCTCAGTCTGCTATAATTTTAAACTTATTGATTAATGGTACCGGTAAATGAATCCAGTTTGTAGATTCAAGCAATATTGATCTAATAACAATTTGTTTCCAGAGAAGACCCAGGGAGTGGAAACCTAATAACGTTTGCACAGTTTCTTTTTGTGGTTGTGCACGGATTTATATTTACGATGAAGTGGGGTACGAAGAAACCAAATATTAGCATATGGTAAGTCCTTGTGAACCTCTTACATCCAAATTAATGAAGTGAAATGTCATCTAGCTCAAAAACATTACCATGTGCCATCATGCGGGTTGCGTCAACTGTCCTCGCCACCCATGTGAAGGCGCTCAAGTACACGAAACACAGGATGTACACCCCATAAGTCAACAGAAATGTTTGCAGTACGGTCATTTCTTACCATCTCCACTTTCCCCCCGCCTACACTGCCCGCCTTTGGTCCAAGTGCCAGCCACGTGCCACGAGCTGTATATCATATAAATCACGATTCACGACATAATGTCAATGGTTGAATTGAAGACTATAGTCCTCGCCACCCTAAGTTGAGGCAGCCAAAGGCCGCACTAGATATACGCCGTGCGGCCTTGGGCTGCCTCAACTTAGGGTGGCGAGGACTATAAAAACTAATAGATTTTAGACTAATAGGTACATCTGTTTATACATAAAAACAAAAACATCTTTCCAAATCGTGAGGTACCGTACTGGTTTAACTTAATAATATTTTTATTTCTGGTATTGTTATATTTAACTGTAACCTTCGATCTATCCTCACCCAATCTATTGTTTTTCATCCTTTACCAACCCTTTTATATTTTCTCTTTAAAAAAAAAAATGTTAGGCCCAGTAGTAGCAAAGCAATAAGCACCAGAATTTACTAGCAAACACTTTAAAACTAAAAAAATTAAATCTGAGAGAGAGTGAGAGAGATATTGCATTTCCCCCCAAATTAAATGTCTTGGTTTTAATTACTAAGCCCTAGGCTGTAGTAGGCTATTAGGTTTAGAGTTAAATACATTTTAATTTTGTTCAAACTGTGTTGCTTTTTCAGGAACTACACAGTTCTCGTAGTGATGTTTTTTGTTGTCAATGTTTTCAACAACTACGCTTTTGATTTTAACGTAGCGATGCCTTTGCACATGATCTTCAGAGCAGTAAGTATGAATTTATCATACAGTTTTGATATTTTGAATTTTAATGTTTCAGAGTTCAAAAATAATCCTAAGTTGATTACTCCAAGCAGCATTTTTATGTGTTAGTAGGAATCATTGTAGTCTATTTGACAATATACTATTTAGGCCCACTATATGACCAAGAGACGATCACTGGTGACGCCGAAACCGCTTGTTCTGCTCGTGGTTGTTGCTTGATGGCGTAAAAGGATCGCCGTTATTGAAAAATATGCTCACAAGTACTTCTGTGGTAGCGGCAGACAATTACCGGTATTGCCGAGGCCGCAAGATATGCTAAAAGGTTTTGCTGCGGTCGGTCGTGAGGGACGATAACCGGATTTAAATCTTATTTAATAATTCGCATGATAGTCTTGTCATCAAGATACCACTGTAATATCATAGACAAAAAGAACTAAATATAGACTGTCAGCTGTGCTGCGGTTACCATAGGTTCTGGCGCTCACCTCTGGGAGCGCCATGTAGTTACGGCGTACTTGCTACGTAACTACACAGCGCTTCCAGCGGTGTGCGCCAGAACCTATGGTAACCGCAGCACGGCTGACAGTATATATTTAATTCTTTTTGTCTATGGTAATATACCATTCTTTAGATTATTTTCAAATTAAAGTGCATAGGCCTATAAGCTAAATTAACAAATAAAATGAAATAATACTATTTCAAACTTACAATTTCTAAAGTACCCATGATTTTTTAAAACAACAGTTCAATGCGATGACAATTATGATTGCCTATAAAAATTCCTTTAGCATTTCTTTGAATATTAAAGTGGTGTGATAAACTTTGAAGACAAGTTCTGATCGTAGTAATTATTCAGGAATTAGGCCCCTATTACACGAGGTAGCCTGGCGACGTCGCCAGCGGCAGTAGCTGGCGACGCACTGGCCACCAAACCTATAACCAGTTGAGTAGCCAGAATTTTACCGCCGTGGCGCCGTAGTTGTGAGTGCTTGTCTTGTACTTGTTATGAGCGGTGTTTACAGTGAATAATGAGTGATTATAAGTATCTTCTCCTTCTGTTACTTCTGAAGAAAAGGAGGCAAAGGAAGAGAAAAATGTACGTTCATCCAATGCTTAGTGCAAGAGAATCAAAAGGGTTATATTACACCCTTTTTGATGAGCTCTGTGCGGACAAAATGTTTCAATTATTTTCGTATGTCACAATCCAGTTTCTTCGAGTCGTAAAGGATGATATAGACATTTTATCAACTGAAGTGAACAATTCACACACTCACAACACAACAGTGTGCAAGTACCCCCGTGATATGAACTAACCGAGTGGTGACGTGATACTGGCGACCTAGTGTAATAAGCTCCATATGCTACAACGCAGCGTCGCCAATATGGGTAGCCAGTGGCTACCACAGTGGCGACGGGGCTCGGTAGCCAGTCGGTCGCCAAAGTGTGGCTGCGTCGCTGGCTACCCTCGTGTAATAACATCCATAAGAATCAATGCCCCATGACAAGCTGAGTAGCCAGTTTGGTCGCTGGCGACGTCGCCAGGCTACCTCGTGTAATAGGGGCCTTAGTCTTGAAATTTCCTGGAAAACTCCTTGAATTCTTTCGCTAGATATAGTAGACACCCTGTTGACATTAAGTTACTTTAGATGCTTCTCTAATTATTTGTTCAACCTAGCTAAAACAGTAAGCATATACATTTTGTTCCTAATACTAATTAATTTTACAGGGTTCCTTGATCGCCAATATGATTATGGGAATCATAATTTTGAAGAAAACATACTCACTCTCCAAATATGTATCTGTTGGACTGATCACCTTGGGTATTGCAATTTGTACAGTAATATCTGGTCAAGATGTAGTAAGTATGCAACAAACTGAGAACAGTAAAAGCTGCATAGCTTTTAAATTTACATATGTCATTCTAGATGATAAATAATCATTCTTATTGTTAGCTTGACAGGAGGATTGACACTGGCAATAGTTTTTCAAACCATGTCTCAGCTTTCAAATACTTGCTATGATGTGTGAAAAAAATGTTGCTGTAGTTCCAAAATGAATGTAGCCTGATGTAGTAGGATAGGATTCTACAGGCAATGCTTACTGTTGACACTTTTGCTCCGAGGGAGATGATTATCGTTTACATGTAAAAAATAATGTCGAACATTTCAGATGAACATTGAATTAATCCATGTTGCAGCTACAATATAACTGAAGCGACTTGAATTCACTTGAATCGTAGCTTTCCCTAATGATGGATTGCTAAGCTGAGAGAATAGACAATGTCATGGTAAATGATTCAATGACTTTACACTCATTAAGATCCTGTTATACGAACGCTAATCCCACAGTGTGACACTTAAGTTCATATTTAAAATGGTTTAATTTGACTCCTTTGTAATTGTATGAACTTCCTAGTTAAAACCTAATCAAGTATTACTTTTAATATAGAAAAAAACTGGTCCGGTCCGAGAAGACGCTAAGCCTACAACAGAAGTGGAAGATTTCTTCTGGTGGAGTATTGGTAAATATGCTACTCACGCAAGTGAGGACATTTACTAAGCTAGTTTGTGGCTATCAAATCAAATAGTAACTAGATACTAGGTGGCGTTCGCAGACACGTCCACAACATTGGAGACCCCTGGGCTAGGGTTTAGCTAGATTCCCTACAAAGTTTAGGGTCCAAGGGCTTGTTTTTTGTTTTCACAAGCTTAACTGAGTACGTGAAACCTAGTATAACCAGTTAAGGTTTTACTAGGTAAATTTAGACAGGCAAGGGTTTGATAAGTACATGCGTCTCAATGGATAGAGTTGCTTTTACTGTTGGATGCAGCACTGTACAATAATTGTATATATATTTTTTGTAGCTACTCTTTTTTGTTAGTCTGTTATGTAATATAAAATTTTGCTTAAGCAAGACTTTAAAGTGTAACAATTAAAGACAATAGACCTAGACATGTTAACAAGAAAGTTATACTTATTTTCAAGCTCAATATTAAGGATTTTTTTATATATTTTCTATTAGTTTTCCTTTTGCCACAAGGCTATTTCCACATTACATAACCATTTGAATCGCCAATGATGCAAACAAATTTTAAAAACCTAAAACTACAGTATAAAAAATAGCAAAAATATGCAGAACCACAATAGTATTTTGTGATTGTGGTAGTAAAAGCTTGGGTTGGCCCATTTTCTATTTAAAATACTCAGAATTTCGGTATAACAACTAACCAAATTTTTTACTAGATCTGAATGTGGCACGGTCCTAATTGGTTACTACATTTATTATGGTTGGTGGAATATTTTAGTCCATAGTAGAAATCCCTAGGATTATAGTTTTCCCCCATTTTTTTAATATATATCTTATCTGGTTTAACTTGTATGTTTGCAAATAAAGATCATTCTAATAACATTGTAAAACTATTCTAGGAATCCTCCTGTTGACAACTGCACTGTTTATGTCTGCCCGAATGGGTATATATCAAGAAGAGCTTAACAAAAAATATGGCAAGAATCCAAAAGAGGCACTATATTTTACAGTAAGTTTTAGTACTGTATTTAGTATTAATTATGTTAAATACTACTTTGGTATGCCAGACAGCCGTACGTGGTTTCATAACTTTTAGGGCTCCTTATGCCTTCAGCTAGAGCCTAGAACTATCTTATCATACCGTTATACTGAATATACTGAAAGTACAATGTATCTTACTAACCCTCAAGATATACATGTGTAGGAAAAATAAAGTCCTAAGAAATGTTTTTTAGAACTGACAAAACACAGATTTACTAAGATAATACATACAAGTATCCTTTCCTGATGTAGTTCTTCCCGGGTGTGGATGTTAAATAGACCTATCCTCCATCTTCTATTTTCCATAGGTTCCTCTTCCTCCACTATCTGCCATATTACTTATACTTTCTCCACAACCCTTTCACCTCATCCATTACCTTTTTTCATTCTCCATTCTGCAGATTGTTGTACACTTGTTCACTCAAGCCATTATTTCTAATGGCAGTCTCAGCGACACTAGCCATCCTAAAAGCATGAAGACCCGTAAAACCCTCCCTAAGCATTTACTTCTTTTATTCTCCTACCAAAACGCTAACTATGAGTTTACAATGTTTTAATTTAAATTTATTTAATCCAAGCTAAATGCTTTTTCCTAAAAACATAACTATGAGTTTACTAATCTCAAAATCAGAATTGTTAAGTCAAAATTCCATAAAAAGCTCAAAGTTACATAAGTACGGTACTCAGAATATACTGCTTTTCTTGAGGTTTTTTGGTGATGATGAGTTAACATTAGGCCTATCTAACAGATTAGGTCTATGAGAACATTTTCCACTTTGTTTTGTAAAAAAAAACTTAAGTATTCACAACATTTTGAGGATCCCTAATTTGACAGTAGTAGGTACTCTTCACTTAAAGACAAGATCAGATCCCAGATCCTGAAACGTTGTAAATACTTGGGATTTCAGTTGTTGTCATAACAAACGTTCCTAATAATCTGTTAAATAATAGAATGTACTTTATCGTATTTAAGAGGGTCGCAAATATAGTTGTGGTTTCCAGTATGGTTAATTGCACGGCTACCTCCCAAAAGTCTAATACGGTAATGTCAATTGCACAAATATCTCCCAAAAGACTAATACTGAGCATCAATATTAGGTTTTTGTGTTAGTCTCCTTTGCTCAGTCACCAACAACTCCATTCTCTAGTAATTCTCTTTGACGTTCATCACATATTCAAACCATATTTTTGATAGATGTTTTATATGTAAAGCTATCTGATTAAAAATAATACATAGAACTAGATGCAAGACATCATACCAATATGTGTGTTGTTACAGCACTTGTTGCCTCTTCCAGCGTTTGCTCTACTCTACAACAACATCTACGAACATCTGATGATCACAGTCAACAGCACACCTATGCAGATCCCCGTGCTACCAGTGGCTGTACCAATACTGCTGGTTTACTTGTTGGGCAATGTCGTCACTCAGTATCCTTTTCAGAGTCTACTTTTGTTCAAACACTGAGTTAAAATTACACCAAGCTGTTCTTTATCTCTGTGCTTCATATAAACAACACTGGCAAGAGTCAACTGATTTTTGTCAGTAACGATAGGTAAAAATCAGCTGATTGGTGATTCAGAATTATTTTTGCCCATTGTTGGATAAATTTTTGAAAACCGTGAAAGTTAACAAAATCAGTAAATTTTCTCAGGATCAAACTTGTTAATTAAAGTTACAGCCATCCTATTAATAGACAATTATGTTTATTGAAAACCTCTTTTCTCAGCTCCTGTGCATCGCAGGGAAAATCTACGCATACTGTTAGAAAGATATTTGCTAAAAGATATTGTAAACTGTTTCAAAATAATTCCTAACCAAGGCTTGGCCTACCACTATTTGCCTGTAGATGTGCAGAATCCCTGTATAAATTAAAATATGCTCAAAAATAAGCAAAAAAATTTATCAAAATATAAAAAATAACCATGGGCATATGGGTTGTCATGTTGGTGACGAAATAACAACAAAATATAAACAGAAAATAAGAACAAATGGAAGAAATTCCAATCACAATTTTTATTTGCAGCGTGTGGTGAAAATAGCAAAGTTTGTTCAATACATACTTTTGGTCGAGTTTTCGACCAAGGGGCGAGCTCTAGTTGTATACTGTTTCAAAATAATTCCTAACCAAGGCTTGGCCTACCACTTCCTAACCTATGTTCTTTACTTATATTTCCTTTAAACATAAGTAAAAGAGTTTAGGTAGTTTGATAGCATACTAGTTCAAAACTTTTAAAAACCTTGAACTCTATTGTTACATTGTGAGTTAGTTATGTATCCATTCCTTTTACAACCTATAACTAGTTGATATTTTCTTTTTAGCTCAAGCCAACATGTTTAAAAGTATTTTTCCTGACAGAAATTTAGATACCTCTGTATCAGCTCAGTCTATTACCTCACATCTGAGTGCTCATCGCTGACCGTGACGCTCGTCATCACTCTACGCAAGTTTGTCAGCTTACTCTTCAGCATCTTGTACTTCAAGAACCCGTTCACCATCTACCATTGGGTTGGCACCACGATGGTCTTTGTAGGGACACTCATCTTCACAGAAGTTCCTCAGAAGATACTACAGTCTTCATCAGCGCCTGCCAAGGCAAAGAAAGCTCAGTAGAATATGTAAAAAAGGGGTATTATTTGATATTTAAGCTTATATGAATTACTATTGTTGACTGTGGCCTGTTGAGGGTGAAACAGGTCTTAAGTAACCTTTAAGAGTTTTTTGTATAGTCAAATTTTCACTTAGAAATTTGAAGCAACTTTTTGCACAGTTGGTGGTTTGAATGCACCGTTCGTTTGGTGGCTTAAAATAGCAGCTATACAAATTATATTATTTTCAAAAACAAGATATAACCGCAACATAACTACTCTTCCTGCAAGCGTCAAACTTATCGACCTCACCACCATCAATCCACCAAGATTAAAAACACTTTACAGGGATGCTCTGGACTAAAATCTCAGTTCAGGATGTGATCCTTTTCCTGTAAATTTTTGGGATATACAGCCAATTTTTTTTAAATAGTATTTTTATTTCAAGATAAAATTGGGTAGTAAAACTGTAAAACAACATGGTTGAATTATATGTTTAACTGGAATTTTTGAAAAAGAATAGAGTTAAGCCACCCAAACGCTATTCCTTTTAAACAAATTCGTAGCCAAATGCATTTCCTTTAAAAATATTACCTTATATTTAACAGGCAACCGAAACCTGTGTAAAAAAACTTAAGAAATGATTGTAAATTTAACACAGACATATTAATTTTGTTAAAAAAATCAATAGGGCTTAGTTGGCTAATGCTAGTACTGCACAGTTAATTATAAATTATACAAAAGTAGATGATGGATGAGACTACAAACCGTCGTGAAATCCAAAATAACTCTATATAACTCTATATACTTCTATATCAATATAGGCGTACTATTTAACACCTGCTAAAAATATGCTTCTACAACCAATTAAATTGTTGCATTGCCCTCTAAAATTCTTTTCCTTCAATTTAATACAGATTTGGTTGTGACGAGTCAATTTTTTCATCCTATAAAAGGCCACTCTGGGGCTTGGAAGATATTTGACTATGAATAATTTTGATGTTATATTATTTAATGTTTGTCCGTCCAAAAAGCATTTAACCAATTTAGCTGATATTGCTTAGGTCTCTGTTTTTTTTATTGAACCCTATTTTACAAATAGTAACTGACAATAACTTTGACAACATAACCTTTGACTATTGATTGATATAACTAAAACTGTCCTCACATGATTCAAGAGGATGACAGATCTACAAAAGGAGTAGCTTTAACACATTCACTACCAGGTCTCACAAAGCTCCTCATACAGAGGAGTGAGGCGACTGGTAGGTAACTTGTTAGTCTTTTATGTAACTTAAGTTAAAAACCTAAAACATTTTGTCAGTATATATTTTTGCTCAAAATTAGAAACAGGGTCATCAACTCTAGAGGAGGAGTATAGTATACAATCAAGGTGTGTTCAACGTTCAACTTACTTGTAATAATAGATATTGTTTGTAGTGTTCCTCTTTTCACTTTTGCCCTATAATTTAGCACATGTAAGTAAATTAATGACTGTTAACAAAATGAGCGGTGACCAGTTTTTAATGATTGTTTGCTATGCAATCAAATAACAAAATTATGTAAAATTTTTGAAGATGTAATTTTGGCTAAATTAAGTTTATCCTGTAAGTATCTTATTTTATGTAAGGGTCTTATTTTTACTTTGTTAAAATTTTACTGTGTACAGAAAGTTTCTATATCTGACCCTCCCAGTTGATGTTCACCCTATTTTGTTTTGCATGTATACCAAAGCTGTAACAGCGAGACAACTCTTTTTGTCGTTCCTGACTGTACTCAGAAAATACACGTCAGGGTTTTAGGGATTTTCCCTTGAATGTATGCATACCACATATTTTGCCAATTATGCTCATTTCCACATACCTCTCTGATAACCTTCACGTTTCAGTGCAAACTGAGACTTGTTGAGTGGATGAGCATCGCTTTATCAAAGATTTTACAGTTGTGGGATTTTATTTTATCACTTTTTTATGTTATATTTGTGATAATGGGGTTGAAATAAAAACAAGTTAGGGCTTATAATGAAAGACAAACTTAATAAACACTTTGCCAATTAATTGTGTAATTTGTTGACATTTTTACAATTTTGTAATTATTTTTTGTTTTTAGTTTCTTTAACCTTGATGTGACCAATTTAGAACAGACAATTTCAATGCTACTGTAATATTATTAATTATATTAGTATGTTTTTTATGTTATAATAATATTCAAATTAAATATTTGACTTCTTAATAATTAATAATATTTAAAAAAGTATAACATAAAAACAAGTAGACCCTATGCAGGCTTATGTGCAAATATTAAATTTAAGTTAGTTTTGGCTAAATTATCTTATCAATGCACTCATTTTATTTTTCAAATTCTTTTGTCTAATTTTTGTTTACGCATTTGTAAAAATGTATATAGATTGAGATAGTTATTTGTGTAACTAGTGGTGAAAGTGGCACTTTGCTGCACACGAGAGCAATGTTTACGCACGAGCCACAGGCGAGTGCGGAATGATCTCGAGTGCAGCAAAGGCCTTTTTCACTCGTGTTACACATTATATTTTTCCTACAGTCACTATAAAACATAAATAATTAGTCTTTCAAACACTATACAACACGTTTTTAGGTTCAGCTAGCAACACAATTACACAAATGGTGCCCTGGAGAAAGTAGTACCCGTGGTCCGTATCACTCCGCTATTTTTCCTCGGCAAGAAATGTGCTCCGTCTTTTGAGAATATAGTTCCGTATGTTTTTGTAATTTGAAGTGGTTTCCGCGCCTAAAAAAAATGCTTTAAAGGTATTTTCTTGTTTATTAAGACCGTAGGAATGTTTTAAAAACGTTTAAAAGAAAAGTCCAGAAAGTTCAGAAATACCAAAACTATAAACACGAAATGACAGGTTAAATCGTAGTTATAATAGTCAATCAGCTGTTCATAGTATTATTATCTTTAAGTGTTGCCAACCTATTTCCAAGCGTACACGGATTACGTGCATCAGTGGCGGATCCAGAGGGGGGGCGAGGGGGGTGACCGCCCCCCCCTTGGGCATACATATACTTATATTTTTTACTGCATGTAATACAGTAGTGCATACAAATTGCGTAAAATAATTTGTCACACTAACTTTGGACAAAGAAATTGTAAAAAACTGTGATTTAGGAGACTTAGTTTACACACATTTTTCGGAGGGGTACCCCCGAACCGCCCCTGACTCCCTGGTTCGCCCCCCCCTTGTGACTGCTCTAGATCCGCCACTGACGTGCATAATAAAACCACGCTGTTTTGTGTTGTTTGGTTGGAATCCTGATGTGCGGCAAAGTATAAACCGTGCGGCAAAGTATAAACCGTACGGCAAAGTATAAATATGCAGCAATTAGCAGCTTTCTGTACTATAAACAGTACAGGGAAGCCAACTTTGTCGGGTGACTGTAGGAAAAATACATTTTTACCAAACTTATTTCTTGTTGTATTTGTATATTGAGGTTTATAAAGATATATTTTTATATGTACTATATATTTGTCTGTAGCTAATTGTTGGTGTTTCTGTAGCTAGTCATACTGTTATCTAATGGTAAGTGTTTAATATGAAAATAAAGTTTTTGAAGTTTACCTGTGCTAATTAAATGTGAGCCTAAACTATTTTAATCCTATCCAAATCCATATCTGAGTAGTGAGTCTTCATTTATTTACTCATAGTTATTTTTTTATATGGTTACTTTAATAACAACTAGTAGTAACTACTAGTTTAACCACAAACTAGTACCGTACAGTGAACTACCGGTACCATTCATTTTAACCTATTGAATTAATCAGATTAATACTCATTTGTACTCATCTAGATTAATAAATGAGAAAAATTTGGGGGGTCAAAATCTGCTACGTGCCCACAACTCAAAAACTTGTTAATATGAACATTATAGTGTACAAAACATAGTTTTTCAATGACAGAGTACTTTGTTTTGTAGAACGGAATCATTTCCAGGTATTATCAATGGCATTGTTGTCAGTCTAATCTTATCTGTCTGGGAGAGATAACAATTCAATGAGATTACGATTAATTTTAGTTCAGTTACTCAATAAACAAATTTTAAGCTGTTCAAGAAGTTTGGTTGGGTTAGGTTAGGTTAGAACAGTGTCATCTAACCTAACCTAACCAACCAAACTTCTCGAACAGTTTAACATTTGCAGTAGTTATTCTACTATTTAGTGTGTTTTCTCCAAATTTATATAGCGTGTGATCAAAAATATTTTCTAAATATTCTATTTTTTATTATTTATTACCTATAAAAGGTTTAATAAGTTATAGAAGTGTAATAGAGGAAAAATAGACACCCAACGGCATTTGACCCTTTTGGGTATTTTTGCACTGTTTTGGTGCTCATTGAATTCATAATGAAATATCTTTGGCCATTGACCTTTCTATACTGAAAATAACATTTGATAAAATGTTGTTCAAAGGTTTGTTGCGGACATTTTCCATCACGATTGTCGAAAACAATACACAACGTTTCGGGATCTGGAAACCCATACCAGATCAGATACCAGATGGGTTCAGATGGGTTTTGGGATCAGATTCCAGATCCCGAAACGTTGTGTATTGTTTTTTACAATCATGATGGAAAATGTCCGCAATAAACCTTTGAACAACATTAACTTGCCATCACCAACAATGAATTTCAAACAAAGGATTTGATAAAACTTTAATATTTAGACATGATAACACTTAATATTCAATTGATGGATAATCTATGTGATGAGGAACGTCAAGTTATGTGTTTTTGATTCCATTATGCAACACTTATCTCATCCAATCAATCTAAGTAGAATCCTTAACTTTTTACTTAGATCGCTAAATTAAATCATTAGGAGGTCATCTTTCCTAAGAAAATTAGCAACTCATTACCTTACAATTGAACGTTTTAGAGAAAAAGTGATTTATTAAAATGTCTTCAGTTACAGATAATATTTCGCCAGTGTTAGTGTCGACAAAACCAATTCTTATTCTGTGTAAATGCGTTGGAGTGTGTTGTTTATCAAATCTCTTTGGCAATTCCCATGCAAGGCTGCTAAAGTATAACTTACTCTCTGTAGGGATCCTCTATCAGTTGTTCTTTGTACTTTACTATCAGATATATTTCAGTGAAAGCATCTGGTCACTTTTATACTATCGTAGAAAAGCCCATTTTGTCACTTTGTTGTCATTTTTTACTCTAGTGATGTTTTTAGAATGTATTTCGTCTGACAAGAAGCTGTTGAAGTTTTTGAAAAGTGTAGAAGAGATAGATGTGTTGGTAAAGAAGATTTTGCCGCAGAAATACAACACTTTGATTAATCTTGACGTGTACAAATGGGCAGCTGGAATATTCATGTTTGATGTTGTGGTATTTTTCGATAGAGATTGCCACTGGGATGTATCAAAATGTTTCAAGACAGATAGTTTACATTCGGTTATTTTTCATCATCTTCCGTATCTTTCTGTCATCTCTCTATTTTGCACCATGTGTGATCAGCTCATAAAAAGATTTCAGTTGGTAAAAACAATGATGATTGAGAACCAAGATGGGTTAGAAGAGCCTTTTTACCTTGAGGAATGCCGTAGTTTGTACAGTTTGGTTGTGGAGTCTACAGAAATATTTCTGGAATGGATCTCGCTACGAATCACAAATCATTTTATTTTAATTACGCTCTATTCTATTTGTCAAATTTGTTTTCCTTGCTTTTACGGTAATGGATGTATACTAACAGTTGTTATCCTAAGAATTTCACAACAGATGATAATGGTATGCCTTATGTGCTACAGTGCTTCAAAACTGAATGAAAAGGTAAGTAGTCCTAGCAACAAATGCTTAAAGAGGGAAATGAAGACAATTTCTGACTTAGTAACATTGTTAGGTCTAGTTAGGAGGTGAACACTGGAAACTTTTTGTTTCAAATAATTTTGATTCGTTTGTTAGATAAGGAAACATATTAAAATAGGTCAAATGCAATCAATGACTGAAGAACCTATGAATTTCAATTAGTTAAAATACCTCAAAGTTATATCCATACATTAACTTTTTTGACCTGAAAGGGATTTAATTATAATAAAACTGCTCTGTCACATCTGATATTTTATGGTTTAAACAGAGTCAAGAGATTCTATGTGGACTTCTACTGATCCCGCTTGGAAAGTCTCCTTACAACTGCAAGGACCAGGTAAAATCTTTACATCTCCTTACTTGAAAAATCAATGTTGTTTTTAGAGGTAACAACTACACAGAAAGATTAACTATACACTTTGTTTCAGATAGAAGTGTTCGTAGACCTAATAATAGCAAGACCTCTGAAAGTGTCTGCTTTTGGACTTTTCGATGTTGATATGACAACAATTCCAAATGTAAGTACTGATATAAAATGTTCTAAGTTAAACATTTGTTGACTGATAAGTTATTGTTTTCTGTTTCTGGTTATTGATGATATGGTGTTATTGCAGGTTTTCTCAGTGATTCTGATGTACACGGTTGTGTTTGCGCAACTCGCTGATAGATTAGAAGTTTATTTTGTTCTTCATTAAACAAATTATCTTTTAACTACAATTCATTTTTGTAAAAACAAAACTTCAACTGTCTTGTTCTGTGCGATTCTCTGTAAGCAAATTGATGTAGAAAGCAAGCTGTGAAAAGTCGTCAACATATTGGTTATATTAACAAAATGTTGCTCATATACTTTGTAATGAAGATAACATAAACTGCTGTTTATTATTAAAAACCCAAAATTAAAAGTGTCAACTAGTCACCGGTACTTAATATGACACATAAGAAAACGCGGAAAACCTAACTGGATTGCCATCTAGTCTAGACTATGCCATCTTCTTAGATAAATTGCACACCCACCTCAGAAAAGATTTTTAGAAAAAAAAAATAATGATAGACAATGTTACAAACAAATCCTTTAGATTTTAAACTAGATTTGCATATAGAGGGTGTAAAAAAATAGAGATACCAAGATTTAAGAGGATATTTACTCAAAGGATCTGTCAATACTCATGACAGTTTGTTGTCAATAACACATTTTATAGCAACTTCTCACAGCCATAAGACAGTAGACATACGACATGTTTATTTCCAGTAGACATATTACGTATTGGAAGAGTCAAACATTTTTCATGCAGAGCAGTTGTC